CTACCTTCCGGGTTTGGGAATTTCTTTATTTGATTTTTCTCTAGCTACTGGTGTCAAAATGCAATAGTTAGAATTAGGTGTGACTGTGACTTATAAAAACAAAAATAGTGTAAACCAGATAAAAGTTGATTTCTCTCTCATATATGCGGTGTCTGAAGTAAGTGGTGCAGAGCTGGTGTGACCAGGCTTCTCTCAGGGCACTCTCCTGTAACACTAGAGTTTGGCCTTTCTCCTTGTGGTCCAAGACAGTAGCATCAGCATTCCAGGAAGCAGGAGGGACAATGGGGACAAAAAAAGAGCTGCAGCATTTGAAACAAGGCTTTGAACGAGTCGGTTTGGTCTGACCCCCTGCTGATAAGTTGCATTTCCACCTCAGCTGTACTGAATCAAAATCTACATTTTAACAAGATACCGAGGTGATTCTTATCTATACATAAAAGCTTCCTAGATGATATGTCAAAGAAGGAAAAAAAAGATATAAGGAATTGGGTCACATTAGGTATGAACCACCAATAGAAGCAGGGATGTGCTACTTTATGCATTCACACATAATTCTTATATAAAGCCTGCTAGGCAGTAATACGAAAATAGAGTACTTCTATTTTTTAGTTAGGAACTGTAAAAACCTCCAATTAGAGCAAGGGGCAAAATAAAATTTCTTTATAAATACTTTGTCAATTTTCTAAATATTAGGGCCCCTCCACCCCTTTATTAGTCCAGTTCTTCCCCTTGCTTCTGGTATTAATTCTGACTTAAACTGGAACTCTGACTAAAAGTGAAGGTATATTCTTAACAATTCTCTACTTCTCACTCCATGTTTTGTTTTATGAGACAGACCTATTCCAGAAGATCTGCATGGGTCTAGAGCTCCCTAACTCTCACCATACAGTTGATAACTCTTCATTTCTCAGAGCAAGCCAACGATACTGTAAATTGTGAATGTGTCTGTCATAGTGAAGTTAAGTCTCACTGAGATCTGTGAGCCCTTTCCTCCTAAAGTTACAGCTCATCTGTCCTCAGCTCCAGGAGTAAGCACTCAATACATGCACACTGAAATATGTTAATTAAAAAGGGAAACACCTAGCTTTTCTCTAAGAAGAAGAAAAAAAACTACCCCTCCCCCTAAAGGATTAGTTGTTACTGGGAAGAACAACCTATTATGGTGGTAAGGAAAACTGCAACAGTTTGAACTTGTTTTTTCTTCCTTGCCAGATGTATTGTGTTAGTAACTTACAGGCGAAATTCAGCTTTGTGAGATTTAACTGCTTCTCAATATAAGATTTAGGAGAAGGCTCTGATCAGCCGGATGTAGGAATGTCTGTCCCTGCCTCAACCTGCTTCTCTGGGCTAATCAATCACTGCCTTCTGGGCTAACTTCCTGTCTGCAGATTAGCAGCACTCCAGGTGGGAATGAAATAAAATGTTCAGTAAACAGTCCTCAGCATACTAATAGAAATCACTGATTCTCAGATTTTATTAAAAGACTGACTGTTCAGGACTAACCCCAGGTAAGGTTTAGTAGTAGTTGAGGCTTTAGCCTGATGAACTAGACTAGACTGTGAACCAGATAAACACCTTTTACCTTCCTGCCTACGGCTTGGATCATTGTTGGTCAAAGTGTTTATAACAGAAGCATTGTTTTGAGTCATCTGAGGAAAAAAAAGGGTTTATTGATTCAAAGAAAAGGTTTGGGCCGCGCAGTACACATCATCCATTTTTGGAGAGAGATTCACAATGCACATTAGTGTATTAGGGACTCTAAGAAGTCTTACAGTCAAGAACCTTTCAAACTGTTCAACTCAGCCTTTCTCAAACTCATTTTACTCTGGTATTTTTCTTTTCACATACCACATATAAACACCCCCAATGAACTTATCTTCTGAGGAAGACATTCAGAATCTCTTATGTGGATCATACTCGTTTTCCTGGCCTTCTAAGGGAGGTACTCCGTGTGTTTGTGTAAAATTGGGGCGGGGGGAGGATTTGGGGCTTTTAACTGAATCCGCCATATCAGAAAAGAGAAAATTCAAAGAGGTGCATTAAAAAAGAAATGCAAGGACTCCAAAACCAGGGAACTCCAAATAGTTGTAGTTAGCAATTACTGAATATTTACTGTGTCGGGTGCGCTTTTAAGTGCTTTGCATTTATTAAAATATTTCATACTCTAAACAACTCAATGAAGTAAGTACTATTATCATTCACATATTACAGATAAGGAAAGTTGAGGCTCAATGAGAATAAGAAACTTACCTAAGCTAGTAAGTAGAGAAGCCACAGTTTGAGCTCAGGTTGACTGGTTCTAGGATTAGTCCTCTTAACCATTATGCCATACTGTCCCTTCTTTGCTCTCCAAAGAGAGACAAGCCAAAGAGGATCCCTACAGTTCACCCAACATGGAGACATGAGCCTTTCATTCCTGGTTGTCAGGCTCCCTTTCCCACCCCCACCCTCTACCTCCCTATCCCCCTAGAGGGAAAGAAGTGGTTAAGCACAGTTCTGGAGTCAGATCACCTGAGTTGTATGGTCCCTCTGCAATTTCTAGCTATGTGAGTTGGAAACTCTGGTTTTTTTCCAGCAGAAAATGTAAAAAAAGGAAAAAGTATATACTTCATAAGGAGACTGTGAGAATTCAATGAGGCAATGTATGTAAAGTACTCAGAACAGGGCTTGGCCTGGTAAGTCTCAATAAAACCCGTTGCCATCAAGTCGATTCTGACTCACAGCGACTCTACAGAATAGAGTCTGCTCTGTAGGGTTTCCAAGGAGCATCTGGTGGATTTGAACTGCCAACCTTTTGGTTTGTAGCTGAGCTCTTAACCACTGCACCACCAGTACAGTCTCAACAGATGTCCACTATTACCAAAGCTAGTCTCACAACGACCTCCATCTACTGACCCTGGTTCTATCCTCTGTACCATGACAGAATTAGACTGTGTCATCTTCTACACAATGGTCTTTCAAAAATTTAAAGATAAGTTAACACGGCACCCCTTCTTCAGACTAAGTATTGGTGGATTCTTGGACTGAGTTGCACATACTATGGTTTTCAGAACCCTTTCTTTTCTGCCTGTATTTTAAACAGTACTTAGGTCAAGGCGTAGCATTCTGATTTCTCTTTCCTGAATGTAACATCATAAACAGAGAGAAACGTGTTTTCTCTTTCTCACAATCCTTAAGAGGCTAAAATTTATTTCATAAAAGATGAAACTGTCAGTACCACTATAAACTAAAATGTTCAATTTAAATGCAGAATTTTATTTTGAAAAGTTTAATATTTCCTTTTTTTATTTTTAACCTCTTTTCTCTCCTACAGCAAATACTTTAATGTAACAGTTACTGAGTCTTAAGATAGGCCAGTTACAGGGTCATGTTGGGCATTAGTTGAATAACTGCCTGCATACTTCCCTTCCCTGTCACTTTAATAACTGGGTTTTTTTTTGACACAAGAAGATACTTTAAGGAAGACTTGACCAGATGCCCTCTAAATTCCATCCTAATCCTGAGATCTGTGAGTAAAGGCTGCTTCTGCAAATGTGTTCCAAGTACACAGATACTGAAGTCTTTCTTGTTCCAACACAAAGAGTTCATATACATTTTATTTAGAGGAACTATCATTTATAACTATATATAAATTTTATTTAAAATTATATATATTATTCCCATTTCCTGTTGTTTTCCAAGGGTTGCCTCTTCAGAGGTTGATTAAATTGGCTTTAAAGTGGTTTATCTACATCTGCTGCTTATGTTTCCCTCTTGACATGTTAATCCCCTCTCCATCTTGTCAGATAACCCTCTGGGTATTTCACATCAGGAATAAACAAATGTCACTAGTGATGGAAATCCAGGCCAGCAACATCCCATATTCCAGAAGACCATTAAGAATTCTTCCTGATGTGGCAGCAGCCCCTTGGAACCCTTACACAAATAAACAAAAAGGCCCAACCAGCTCCCTTGACTGCGTGGGCACAGTAGGGGACATATAGAAGGAGAAGACCTGTGATCAAAACTGACATTCTTCCACACAAGGAACTCCCTCAGAGGTGTTAGAAACTGTAAAATAGTGAGGTTTTTGCAAACAGAGTGGACATAGCAGGACACGGGGCCTCAAACATAGTCTACCTTTTCATGGACGCAGACCCACTCAATTTACTAAAATCTAACAATAGCTAATGCATTCGTGTGTCTCTCCATTTTTATACGCTTTAGTCACTTGCTAGTCCCATCTTTCCTACAGGAAACGTTTCTTGGTAAAGAGTGTAGGACTTTAGGGAAGAAATATAAGTAATCACAAAGTATTAAACCCATAGTAATTGAAGCTTACAAGGTCAAATCCTTAAATGTCATGTCAATTATACCACATATACCAAAATACACACACAAAAATCAGATATACACAGATACCAATGCAGGCAACATTATTTTTGCCAAATTTCATGTTTAAAATTATTGAAGTCTCTATTAATGCCTCAAAAAAACATAGAAACATCTTAAACATACATCAATTACCTGGAGGAATAAATATACTCCAAATTCTTACTGTCAGAACTCTGGAAAAGAGATTTCTCTCCAGTATTTTAAAAACTGGTATCTAAAATACATTATAATTTCATCTTGACTCAGGTTAGTTACCTAAGTCTTCTTCAATGAACTTTTAAAATCGAGAAATTTTTAAGTTCCAAATATAATGAAGACTTAAACACACATTCAAATTGGAAATGGGAATTTATTTTCTATTCTACTTCTTTCAGGAGCTGTAGTATTTTTTCTTACCTTACTTTCTTATGACAAACATCTTTAGAATAAAAAAAAGGCAAAATACCGAAAAACATGCGAAAGCCAGGACCTGTGTAAGGTAGAAACCCATCAGAGAAGGAAAACTCACCTATCTTGCACTAACAGAGAGCAATAGAAAAGTGGTGAGACTGCACTTGTCAAAGGCAGAAAACTTGTGAGACCTGGAAAAACAAGGCAGTCCCACTGAGTTCCGGCTCTTACAGGTTTCAGTGTATAACAATTTTAGTTGAGAAGACATTCTAGATGGTTTCAATGATAGCTCAGTTAAAATAACACTATAGATTTGCTTCAACAGATGATGTCACCTTTGAAACATTAAAAAAATTTTTCTTATCATTTCTGGATGGGCTGGGCACATTCTTTCTCAACAAGACTTCTTACTTCACTTTGCCAGAGTTCCCTTGACTTAATAGCCTGAGGATGATCACATGAGATTTAATGGCTCTATACTATTTTTTGAATGTTGGGCAAAGTTAGGCTGGTTGATAATATAACTTATTAAAATGAGCTGTGTTCTCGGTGCCCCGGACTGGCCCAGCAGTCTGAGAGAAGCCCTTGATTCCCACAGTTGCTAAAGAGGAAGAGTTAACATTGCAGTGGCTGAAAAATCCCAGAAAACAGATTACACTGAGTGCAGCTGTTTAGAGGAGGTTTAGCATTTAATGGTATCACTATCGCTAAAGTATTTCCTTGAGCAAAAAACACATTTATTCAGTATTTAGGGGGAATAATGAATTTCGTAACATGGTTGCCTTCTCTGTGGAAAAGATTTTTAAATTTGTTACGATCACTTCCTCTTATTTTCTTTTTCTTACAATCATGCATGCCCTGTGATCTAAATTTCTTAAATTCATTTAAAAACAGATTTAAAAAAAATCCAAGAAGTTAAGAACAAGCACGAAGTAAACAAACAAACAACTTTGTCATTACATTTTCTCCTGGATAACTGCTCAAATATTTCTTGTTATTTCCATCGTTTTAACGCTGCAGAACAACACACTCGTGGCTCAGTGAAGAAGCAACGTACATATGAGTGGCAAAACGTGGAAACCAGAAGAGGAATATAAACGTAAATCAAACTTTTAAAATCCTACTAACACAACAGCCTCTTTCCTTATTACTCCATTAATGTCCATTCCATGTGAATTCACATTTTGGTTCCAGGAGGCCATGTACCATAAGCCCTGAAAACAAAGACCACTATTCGTAGAGGGGAAAGTAGAACCTATGTCCAGTGTTCACTGGTGGCAAGCTTGCCAGTGTCTTCTGGGAAACTAATACAATTATAATCTGATCATTTGTTTTAGGATTCTGGGGACCATGGAAATAGAAAAGGATAGAAACAGGGCATGCTTTTTTGAGGTTTCTTGGGCTGAGTAGTAGAAAAATAGGTGTTTTCCTCTGGGGCTTTTTGCAGCTGAGAATGGAGAGGCTGATATTTCTGACAGTACGTTTTCATTTTCCTCAGTCTTTAAGGGAGTGGTAGGCTTTGGCAGTCCGGCTGTTGACAAAATCTGTCTTCTTAAACTGAGCCTTTGGAACAAGCAAATAGAAATGTGAAAGGCAACAAAATTTTCAAACAAGCAAATGAAGTTTTTTTTTCATGATTTCTCACCAGAGTCAAGCCAACAGGCTGTTATTATCTGGCTCTTGTTAACTACAACACTCCTTTTTAACATTCTTACCTTCTTATAGGCATTATGGAGCTCAGTGTGTGTCCACAGAGAATATAGCAGAACAGAAGCAGCTTTACTTGCTTTGTTGGGGATGTGGCTGAAAAGAAGAAAAGGACATTCCGAGATCAGTGAGAATACGTGAGCTTCTGGATACAGCACTGGGCTGTTACATAAATCTTCTTTAACTGCTGTTGCTCAGTAGTCATCCATTAAGTCATGTCACTCACCATGGAAAAGGAATTAGTAAGCTTTGGAGGGCAGGAACCATGTTTTATTTCTTTTTAAACTTCTAGCACAGTGCTAGTAAATAGTTTATAGAGTAAACCCCTGATATTTATAAGGAATACAACTTTAGACATTTATAAATCCTCAAATTTATTTATAGAATACAATTTTCTTCATAAAATACAGGTAAGTATGACTAAAAAAGATATATGCCTCTTACACTTGGTGACTTTATGAATGTAGGAGTAATTTTTTTTAAGTAAAATAATTTGTCTTTGGAGAACTTGTTAAAATAGTTTTAAAACTACTTCATGTTTTTTACATAAAACAAAAAGAAAACTTGTTCCTGTTCCTGCTTTAAATTCAAGTCACCAATGAATTTGATATTGTATTTAGGTTTTTACATTCTGCTTTTAAATCTATATCAAACTTTTACTTTCTGGATAAGAATCAATGCTTTCTTAGATCTCTTCTCTCTATCACCTGAAGTAGCACACGGCTGTTTTTTTTTTTTTAAAGAAACAAAGTCCCCCCCACCCCATATCATCAAAAACCAAACCAAATCCATTGCCATCAAGTTGATTTTGACTCGTAACAACCCTGGTGGACAGAGCAGAACTGCCCTATAAGGTTTTCAAGGCTGTAATCTTTATGGAAGCAGACTGCCATATCTTTCTCCCGCACAGCGGCTGGTAGGTTAGAACCGCCGACCTTTTGGTTAGCAGCTGGGCGCTTAGCCGCTGGGTCACCAAGACTCCTCCCCACATTATTAAAACAAACAAACAAACAAACAAAAAACCCATGGCTGTTGAGTCTATTCCAACTCATAGTGACCCTACAGGACACAGTAGAACTGTCCCAGAGTTTCCAAGGAGTGCCTGGTGGATTCAAACTGCCGCCTTCTGGTTAGCAGCCGTAACACTTAACCACTACACTATTAGGGTTTCCCCCCATATTGTGGAAATCTAGAAATATGTAACAAAGAATAGAGAACACAAAGCTATACAGAGAAGTGCATGTTCGGCAGCTGGCTAGGTTCATTCATTAGCTAAAAGTCTGTTTTTCTTCCATACCAGCTTGGCAGAGAGGATAAGTCAAATCAGCACCTCAGACTTTTCAGTACCTTATGGACTTTTCAGAGCTGCTTGCTAACACCCAAAGTACAGATAAATCCAGAAATTTTACAGGTCTATAAGATTTAAAATTGCGAAAAGTTCTTAACTTTCAAGAGTTTTATATTCATGTTTGTTTATAAATTGGTTTGTTTGGCACTTAGAACTCATTTATTTGAAGATAGAATGTTGTAAATAGTAATTCACTCACAGGCTACCCCACAAATTATAGGTGAGATATACAATGCGCTCGCAAGGAAGGGGTAGTAGGTAGAAGCAACTGGTTATACAAGGTTCTTTCATTCTCTTCTCAATTATTTTTTAATGGAGAAACTTTAAAAACAGACACAGGGATGTGGGATGACTAATATGCATTAGACTTGTTCTCAAAAGAGAATAAAAGGTGTACAGAAAACCGAGAAAGTAAGAATTTCTGCCACTTCTTCTCATGCTATCACTGCTTCTTCCAAGCCACCAAGGGTGAGATTGGCACCATAGATTTAAGTGAGGAAAAGGGCATTCTCTGTCTGTAAGACTCCCAACTTGCCTACAATTTGCTGTTCGCAGATGACAGCTGTGGCTTTAAGGAACAAATTAATTTCTTAGAACAATATAAAGTGCTGGAATGAACTACCATGAGAAGCTATAAAGTTTGACTATCTCTTGTTATTTTAGAAGATAATGAACAACTATATCCTTGGAATGATTCAGTTTTTCACTTCCTAGGACTGGATCAGATGATCCAGCCCAGCTTTATGATCTTGTTTGTGGCCAAGTTGTCCGTGGTGCTTATGACTGAACATGCACAGCTAGATTTGCTGCTGAGGAGTGGTAGTGGGGAAAAGTGAGGCAGCTGATGGGCAGATGCTAAAGGACTTACCCATTGCCTGTGCTAATGGCCATAATTTTCTGGAGGCCTCCAGTGTTTAGAAGGTCCCGGGCATTCTGGTAACTATTTTGGGTTATATTGTTCAATGTATAACAGGCCGAGGCTGTGGTCTCAATGAGAAGGTCAGTACTTGGAACTGTGTCAGGAATTATGGAAACCAAATCAGGTAGAGTTTCTTTGGCTACAAGACAAAAGAAAAAGAATACTTGATTAAAATGATTATATTTCTTAATCTCAAGATCCCAATACAGTTTGAGTAAAGAACATTTTAAAATATAAACATAATTAACACATATGTAAAGATATAACCTCTCTGTTCAAATTAAATTATAGATTTTTTAAAAGATGACTCTACCACTTCACTCTCACTACGGTGGCTATTATTAAAAAACAAAACAACAACAATGGAAAATAACAAGGGTTGGCAGGGATGCGGAGAAACTGCAACCCTCCTGCATTGCTGTTAGGAATGTAAAATGGTGCAATGCTGTGGAAAACAATCTGGTCTTCCTTAAAAAGTTAAACACAGAATTACCTACCACGTGACCAGCAATTCCATTCCTAGGTATATACTCTAAAGAATTGAAAGCAGTGACTCAAACAGATACTTATGCCCCAGTGTTCATTGCAGCATTATTCACAATAGCTGAAAGGTATTAATGATAGTGTAATGTCGATCAACAGACAAATAAATAAACAAAATATGGTACACAATACAATAAAATATTATTCAGTCACAAGGAGAAATGAAGTTCTGATATATGCTCCAAGATGAATGAATCTTGAAAATATTATAGTAAGCGAAATAAGCTGGACACAAAAGGAAAAAAATATTGTATGGTTCCTTACACGAGATATCTAGTATAAGTAAATTTATAGAGAAAGAAAGCAGAGGCCACCAGGGGCTGGTGGGAATGAAAGAGGAACAGGGAGTTATTGCTTAATGGGTACAGAGTTGTTGTTTGGGGTGATGAACAGTATTGGAAACAGTGGTGATGGTTATACAACACTGTAAATGTAATTAATATCAGTGAATTGTATACTTAAAATGGTTAAAATGGCAAATTTTATGTTATATAAATTTTACCACACGCACACAAATATGATACTCTGCTCACGACACTGGTAAAATCTTTTCAGAAAGCAATTTGACAGAAATGTCTAGACTTTTTAAAATGTTCATACTCTTTTATTCAGTAATTCCACTTCTGCAAATTTATCCTAAACATATTACTTTAAGTATTACAAAAGTTTTAGGCAGAGATATTTATGACAGTACTGTATATGAGTGAAAATTATAAGAAGTCTAAATATTCTAAGAATATAGTTAACTAAAATACATCCATAAAGAATATCATGCATCCCAAGATTTAACTATGAAGCATGTATAATAACAAAAAAAATTTGTTAATATGCTAAGCAAACAAAATCCGTATACTTACTTACGTAAATAGTGTATAATATTATAAAAGAAAATACACATAAAAAAACAAAATAGAAGTACATGTTAACAGGAGCTGTTTTTCTACAATGAGATTAACGGAGATCTAAAAATATTTTAAAAAAATTATCTGAACTTCCCAAAGTTTCTTTAATATGCAAGTAGTATTATTATTATTAGAAAAGGGGAAATAAACTATTTTAAACTTACTTTTTGATTGTGTCTGTAAGCTTTTCATACAGGGTTTGAGTTTGGCTTTTTTGGGTAGTAATGAGAAGTATTCACGTTTGATGACCTCACTATAACTTGTCCTATGGTATGTATTTTCCGCAATATGAATTTGTAATTGATTTTGTATATGAATTTGTAATTGATTTTGTACAATAATTCTTTTCATGTATGTTTTTCTCTTTTAAGGAGCTCTGGTGGTACAGTGGTTAAATGCTTGTCTGTTAACTGAAAGGTTGGCAGTTCAAACCCACCAATCGCTCGGAGGGAGAGAGATGTGGCAGTCTGCTTTTGTAAAGATTACAGTCTTGGAAACACTATGGGGCAATTCTACTCTGTCCTATATGGTCACTATGAGTCAGTCTTTTTTTTTTTTTTCTTTCCTTTTTTCTCTAACTACTTTGGACCCTCCTTAAATGCTTTTGTTGTTCCTCACAGTTCCTTAATACAGTGCTGTGTTTATTGTAGATATACAACAAATACTGATTAATTTTATTGTTCCTTTATCTGTGTTCATGTGGCACCTTGAATTGCACTTTTCGCTCTTTATGATACTGTATTGCATTTTTGTCTGTGTGCGCCTGCCTTTCTTTCAAATAGGACTGTGGGTTCCTTGAAAACAATTATCCTCTTCATTTCTGGATTCCCAGCATCTATCACAATGCCAGAAACAGAGGTGCTCAATAATGGCACTGTATGATATGTTACCCTTTCATAATACCTGGACCTGATTGACAGGTAAGACATACCTTATGCTCAAAGGCCTGAACTCTTTCTTTTTTAACAGTTGTTTAAGTATCATAGCACTGTTATGAGCTCAGAGCTCAGCTTCTGAAGGAAGACTCCTTTAATTTCAGCCCTGTCTCTGCCACTTAATAGCTCTGTGATCTTGGCAAGCTACTTAACCTCTCTGTGCTGCATTTTCCTAATTTTTAAAATGAGGTAATAGTACCTACCTCACAGGGTTGTTTTGAGGAATTTAATGAGTTAACCATGTTAATTATATTATAGTACCTTGCACATAATAAGCTCTCAATAAATGTTATTTATTATTAGAAGGCATATAAAAATATTACCTGGCCTAGAAATCCCTCATGAAAAATACAGAACATGCATTTTAAACTGATTTTCATTTATTCCTGGCTATTAATTCCCTAAATCAAGAGATGACCTTTTACTTAAATTACTATATTTGACACAGAGCCAATTTGAAAATTTAAAATTGCACTTATCTTGCTGCTTCTCTCTGTTATCCTTAGAGTGAGGCAAAGCTTATCATCGGAATCATCTTATATGAGTCACGTGGCTACAACTATAACCTCCCAATGGTTAGAGGACTGTAGAGCCTGAGACCAACAGCATTTCTGCCCTGAAGGTACATGCACAATGTGTACAGTGTAGTTATTTTCTTTGGCAATGTTTTAAAGGGTGGAACGAACATTTCATTTCAGAGAAGGAAAATAAAATTCTAAGGATAATAGACCTGTATTGAAATGGAGCACAAAAGCCCACAAAAGAGAATGGGGAGAATACTTTGATAACTCTGAGAGTGCCTAAGGCAAGGTTTCTTTTAGGTTCACTGAAAATTTTCCAGACTCTCTCTCTACTTACAATGGGAATGAAACCATTGTATGGAACAGCCTGTCAACTATTACGCTGCTGTCTTTGGAAACAACATTAGTAAAACATAACCACAACAGACTCCAATATCCTTGAGAGTGTGTGTGTGTCTGCGTGTCTGCGTGTGCAGGCAAACTCCAAAATCTAATCCTTTAAAAAACCAAAATTTTATTTACAATTTTAGTGGAACTTTGCAAAAAAACTGAAAAGTTGCTAGAAATTAATTTATGGAGCATTTGGAAGCAGGCTTAATTTTAGCATTATCTTCCTATTATCTCATTTTATAGTTTTCAACTTGATTCATCAAACATTTATCACATACTTCTAGGCATAAAACAAGTGAGTGAAGAATTAATAATCTCTGCAAAAATACAGACTCTCTTATTCTAAAAACCATTTATGCTTGAATCTAGTATTTTCAGTGATGCCTCCTTTTTGTCTTTTTCTTGTGTTCATCTATCTATCCTTTTTTTTTTTTTTCTAGCCCAACACTTTGCCAAGTTTCTAAAGTGTGGACAACTATTATGTGTGTTTTTCCTAACATTCTAGAAGAGTGGTGCTTAAACAGACCACATAGAGAATATTGTGAAAGACAGTAATATGGACTAAAAAGACTGTTGGATAGCGTGGCTGAGGGATGAAAACTTACCAAATATATTACTTGACTTATAAATCACTAGTATAGTTCAAATTTTCTCTTCTTTAGGTACTAAAAGAAACAACAAAAAAACGCTAACTATTAGAAAAACCCTCTTTGAAGCCCAGTGAGAAAGCCCTGCCTTTGACGGCTAGGTGTACAAAAGCCAGTCTTATTTATCATGTTCTACTATTTGTTCACATTTTCAGTTCACCATTATGAAAAGAGTACAAGAACAAATTTTTTTTGTATTTTCAATATGTACATATTGCATTTAGATGTTTTCCCAACTCACCAATTTCATTCTGCAGAGAAAGATTCCGAGACAAATTCCTCAGCAGGGAGACTGCAGTCTTCTTCACACTTGGGTCACCAACATGCAACATCTTTCGGGTGTGCTGAAGGCCATTTTCCTTCTGGACAACTGTCTGAGCTACTGAAGTCGGCATCTGTTTTGTAAGACATGTACTATAAATGCTATTGCATTTGATTTCACGGTAATATTAAGTTTTCTGTAGATTACTAGAGGTTGAGCAAGATGTTTTAAAAACCATTTGAAGCTGTGATGAAACCAGTTTAAGAATGCTTTCTTAATAGGTTTCCAATTATTGGATACAAATAATTTATTTGGAAAAAATATATCAGGCTTTTAAAGGAAGAAATGCCTGGCCAGTTATCTGTCATTCTATGCTCTGTATCAGAGGCTACGTGCACAAGTTATTGGTCCAGGTCCAGGTCCACTAGGGGCACCTCTTATTTGGAATTAGGCTGGCCTTCTACTTTCTGGGGATCTGAATACTGATCAGGACCTTCTTAGCATCAACAAATGTCCAACAATACTAAGGCCTTATCTTGTGTCTGCAACTTTATATTAGATTTTATTTAAAGCCAGTTTGAGGCCATCATGCCAATATTTCCTATCATTATTGGCCATTCTTCAGGGTGTCTTATCCTCTCCATCTCACTTCATTTTGCTTGTTATTTTCCTCCCTTCAGTATTGCCCTCCTCCTTACACTTCTCCATCTAGATTAGGGTTTTTTAGTATAGACTCCAGGGATAGGCTTCAGGGAGGTGTAGGAGAGTCCCGATAACTATTTATGTGTTTATAATAAACTTTTCCAGGGAAAGGGTCCATAACTTTTATTAGACTTTGAAAGTGTCCATGACTTAAAAAAGTTTCATAACCACTACTTTAGAATGCATTTTCTATTGTAAACAAACTATACTTTGTGTTTCACTAATTCACAGAACATTCCTATAGGCTATTTGATCTTCTCTGAGGAGATTCCTTATCCTGTAGCCATCCAGAGGGGAGCTTACTTATTCTGCTCAACTCCTCCATCTTGATTCATAAGGTTGGTTTGGTATTCCCCTCTCTTCCAATGGTCCTTCTAGACAATAATATCTTCCCTCATATGCAAAAAGGTCTGTTCCTCTGAGTCACTCCCATCCAGCTCTATTATCCCTCTCACATTTCTTTGTTAAGTCAAGGCCTATTGGTCCTTCTTCAACATTCACTGGAGTCTTTGGAATCTGGCTCAGAGCCTTCTCCTCCACTTCAAGTTCTGTCATCTCAGATGACACCAGCATCTATGTAGATGACCAAATAGACTATCTCACATGCCTACATCTCCTAAAAGTTATTGACCTTTATCTCTTCCATACATGAGTCACTGACTTCCATGGTCACAGAGAACATGCATTCATTCACTGAGACATACTTTTCCTCTGAAAACAAACTCCAACATCAGGCTCTGAACATAACTTCCTGTTCTCCTTGCTGTCCCTCCTTTACTCCTATGATACTTCTTCTTTAGCCTCATCAAGAACTCCAACCCTGGTAACCACTAATAATCTTTGGTTCTATATATATGCTTATTTCACATAAGTGAGATCATATAATATTTGCCCTTTTACAATGACTTATTTCACTCAGCATGTTTTCACAAGGTTCGACCACACTGTGACACGCACCAGAACTTCTTCATTTCTCTTTATGGCTGAGTAGTAGTCCACTGTGTATACACCACATTTTGTTTATCCATTCATCTGTTGATGGACATTTTTGTTGTTTCCACCTTTCAGTTATCAAGAAAAGTGCTGCAATAAGCATTAGTATACAGGTTTCTGTTTGTGTTTGTCTTCACTTCTTCTAGGTATATGCCTGGAATTGGGATTGCTGGGTCATATGGTAGTTCTATGTTCAACTTTTTGAGGAACTGCCAAACTGTTTTCCGTAATGGCTGTACCACTTTATGTTCCCAACAGTAGTAGATGAGGGTTCTGGTTTCTCCACAGCCTCGTCAACATCTGTTGTTTTCTGTTTTTGTTGTTGTTACTGCCATTCTATTAGGGGTGAGGTGGTATCTCATTTTAGTTTTCATTTGCATCTCCCTAATGGTTAATGATAAGCCGTGGTGGCACAATGGTTAAGTGCTCAGCTGCTAACCAAAGGGCTAACAGTTTGAACCCACCTAGCAGCTCTGTGGGAGAAAGATCTGGCAATTTGTTTCCATAAAGATTATAACCTAGAAAACCCTATGGGGAGTTCTAATTTGTCACAAAGGGTCGCTCTGAGTCAAAATCAACTCAACGGTACCTAACAACAATAATGGCTAATGACGTTGAGTTGAGTATCTTTTCATGTGCTTGTTGGCCATTTGAATATTCTCTCTGGCGAAATGTCCAAGTCCTCTGCTCACTTTTTGATTGGGTTGTCTGTTTTTTTGATGTTAAGTTGTAGTTTTATATATATTTTGGAGCATCAATCTACTTTTATCTGGCTCCCTCAAACAATCCTACTCAAACTATTCCTGACATAGTTGATTTTCTTCTGCTGAAGCTAAAAGACATTTCTTTCTTTACCTTTCTTGTCCTTTTGTTGACGCTTTTGACACTCTTAACTGTAATATCTTCCCTAAAATTTTCTTCTCCTATGTCTTCTTTAATACCATGCTGTCCTAGTTTTTCCTTTAGCTTTTTGGCAGTTCCTTCCCTGCCGTTACTTCTTTTTCAAACCCCTAAATATTGGTGTTCTCTCAGATTCTGTCCTGGGTCCTCTTCTCATTCTATACATTCTTTCTGAGTGATCTCATTTCACTCCCTTAGTTTCACCTATGATTCATATGTTAATGACTTTAAAATTTTTATTTCCATTTCTGATTTTTATTGTTGTTGTTAGCTGCTGTTGAGTTGGCCCTTGACTCATGGTGATCCCATGTACAACTGAACAAAATGATGCCCGGTCCTGCACCATTCCTATGATCGGTTATGGGTCAGACCATTGTGATCCATAGGGTTTTTGTTGGCTGATTTTCAGAAGTTGATCACCAGGCCTTTTTTCTTAGTTCATCTTACTCTGGAAGCTCTGCTGAAATCTGTTCAGCATCATAAACCACCACTGATGGATGGTGGCTGTGCATGAAACACATTAGCTAAGAATCTAACCCAGGTCTCCTGCATGGAAGGTGAGAATTCTACCGCAAAACGTCTGATTTTCATTGTGTTCCCAACCCGTATGTCCAAAGAACTATTGAACATCATTACCATTAACATCACATTCAACATATACAATACTAACTTAATCATCTCTCCTTCCTTTTAAGTTCCTTCTCCAACTATGGCCACTCTAATCTTCCTGTATTATGACTAAGTATAATAACTGTATTAAATGTATATTCCAGAGATTTGAGTATCATCTGTAACACCTATCTTCCTCAACCTCCCCCATCTGATCAGTTACTATTACTCAGTAAGACACAGACTTTCTCTTTGTGCCCACCACCATAGTTCAGACCCTTTCTATTTCTTATCTCTAATAACCTCCAAACTAATTTCCCTGGCTGTGATCTTGCCTTGATTACATCAATACTACACACTGTTGCTAGAATGATCCTTCTAAAATTTAACTGGATTATGCTTTACCCAGGTTTAAACCTTTTAATGACTCCCCAATTGCCTTCAGAATGATGTTCAACCTCTGAATATGGCAAACATAACCCTTCATAGCCTGGCATCTTCTTTCTTTTCCTTCCCTCAACACCCTCCCTAATTTTCTAGGCTACAACTATACTAAACTGCATACCTCTCTTAATTGTCTGTAAGCACCTTGAAAGTAGGAAGTGTATCTTATCAATTTTTTTTCCTTAGCACCTTATATGGTACATAATACATTGTAGGTCCTATATAATTGTTTATTGAACTGAACTGTAAAAGTAATGTTATCAAATTATCCTGAGCATTTACTATCATCTAAGAGGGTGTTTGATAACATGAGGAATCAAGATGAACTAAAATGCCACAAGATTATTTATTTCTTAAAAAGTTTTTTCTTTGAAAACATGAGATGGTTTTAAATTTTAAGGCTTGCTTTATATATGTATGTACTATTTAATGATATCTGTTTAAATGTATTAATGAAGAGGTTTGATGTTAATTTATAAAAATTATAATTGAAAACACACAATCTAGAGGAAATCTAGGCCCTCAAATGACATGTGTTCAGCTAGAAGAAAGCACAGCAAAGCCTTATTCATTCAGATTCACTGAAGGAAATAGGAGAGCCTGAAGTGGGACAGTCTTTAGAATTTGCTCAGTAAGGAAAACAAACAATCAGATTTATCAAAGGGAGGTTTTATATTCCAGCTCACGGAAGTATGTGAGAATGACTGTTAATCAGTTGGTCAAGTGTTTGGTAAATAACACTTCTAGTTTATATTGCCTTGATTATTAATGAGGTTGAACACCTTTCCAAATGTTACTAGCCATTTTTATATTTATTTTGAGAAGTGCCTGTTCAAGTCTCTTGTCTATTTTTCTACTGGGTTGTTTATCTTTTCATTGTTAATTTGCTGAATATTCTATATTTTCTGGGTAGCAGTCTTTGTTAGTTATATGTGTTGCAAACATCCTTTCCCACACTGTGGTCTGCCTTTTTACTAACTTGATAATGTCTTTTGATAGCATAAATTCTTAATTTTAATGTAGTCCAGTTTATCAAATATTTATTTTATGGCTAGTACTTTTAGTGTTCACTTTGAAGAAATCTCTCCAGGTCATGAAGATATTCTTTTATGTTATCATTTAGAAACTCTGTTGTTTTACTTTCCACATTTAGATCTCAATCCAGTTGGAATTAATTTTGGGGTAAGGTAGAAGGGTAAGGGTTAAGCTTAATTTTTTTCCAGTGGATATTAAGTGCTTTTAATGTTTTAGGAACTGGAAAACTGTTTATATCAACTACTTTTGACTTTTACCATGTAATGTTTAATCTTTTAGTTTATGCTGTACTTAGAAAGCATATTAGCTACCAACAGCTATTCTAACAAATTACCTCAAATTTAGTGGTTTAAAACAACATAAATTTATTATCTTAAAGTTCTGGTGGTCAGAAGCCCTTAAAGGATCTCATGGGCAAAAATCAAGGTGTCAACAGACCTGCATTCCTTCCGAAGGTTCTAGGGAAGAATCTGTTTCCTTGCATTTTCCAGCTTCTAGAGGCTGTTTACATTCCTTGGCTAGTGGCCCCTTCCTCCATCTTCAAAGCTTATGATTCTACCCTCTGCTTTGTTATATCTCCTTTGACTCTAACCCTTATGCCTTCTTCTTATAAGGACACTTGTGATTATAACTCAAATAATCCAGGATAATCTTTCCATCTCTAGTTCCTTAACTTAATCACACCTACGAAGTCCCTTTTGCCACGTAAGGTTCTGGGATTAGGACATGACATCTTTGGGGGAAAGAGGGCATTATTCTATCACAGAAAAGTTTGTTAAACAAGGGTAAATTTTATCAATCCATCCCCCATTCCTTATTTATTACTAGAATCCCATTATATCTGAACTAATGGAGTTTAAATTAATGTATTTTTATTATCTACAAATTACTGTCATAATTTTATGCTTAAATTATACACTCTATCACTTAGGAAGCTATTTGTTTCAGTTTAGGTTTTTTGCTGTTTAAAGCGGCTGGCCATCAATTGCTCAGAACTCTGTCAGTTATGATTACATGGTAAATGGACTGGATATTATCTGGGGGTATGCTTAACAGCCTGCTTTTCATGCTTTTCTATTCAATTATTCCTTTTAAAAATTATAAAAGCAAAGACCTTTATTGCACCATCTATGTATGACAAAATTAGGAAACATAATAATTAGAAAGGATGTACATATAAGTCAAAATTTTAATAAAATGCATCTATAACTTAAAAGAATAAAGACTCCTCATATCACTGTCCCATGCTGGTAATGATTTTTTCCTAGTCTAAGGTTAGGTATGATTATAAATGCGTTGACATGATTAGAACATTTGGGAAGATTTCTCCTTTGCTTGAGTCCCTTTTGTATCTGGCATCTTCTAGGACCTTAAATTTTTGTGTTTCCCTCCAGCTAGATTATTATTAAACATAAGGATTCTGTCTCATTCACCACTATATCCTTAGCCCTAGGTTACACCCATTCATTGCCTTTGAGTTGATCCTGACAAAGTGACCTATGGGACAGAGTAGAACTGCCCTATAGGGTTTCCAAGGAGCGGCTGGTGGATTCAAACTGCAGACCTTTTGATTAGCACCTGAGCTCTTAGGTTAGTGCCTGTTATGTAGCAGGGTCTCAAAAAAAAAAAGTCTGTTTAGTAAATGAATCAAAGAACTTAGAATCTAGATAATAAACTATGTATTGAGAGCTTAAATGGCACAAATATCCTTGTATCCTCAGGAACATGGAAGAACCCTTAGGTTGTCTGGATTCCATGAGAGGATCCTGGAATTAAAGAGGCTTAAATCCAGATTTAAAGAGTTAGTTCATACTGAATCATACTCAGAACACAGAGAGCTTAAAATATATACACATACACCGGAATGACTGTTTTAATTCTGACTTTTTTTTTAAGTTGGCTAGGAGTTAATAAGAGGATTTCTATAGTTTAAAAAAGTAGAAGAAATGGTTTTGGGAAACCTAGCATGAAATAAGATGATAAATTCATGTCTGTGTGGCATTCAGGGCTCCCAGGTAGTTTCCCATTTCTTTCTCTTTGTATACAATTACATGTTGCTGCAAATCAAAGAGATGAAAGTTTGGCTGTCTTCTTACACCAGTGCTAAGATAGGAGAAATATTGGTTTTAGCATTTCATGATTTTATTCAAAACAAGCAGCAAGCTTCTGTGTAAACCCACTTATATTAAAGGATATGATTTCTTAAATAGAGAAAAAATAAATGGACTAGATATTATCCGGAGGTATGCTTAATAGCCTGCTTTTCATGTTTTTCTATTCAATTATTCCCTCTAGAAATTATAAAATTTTTGCAATATTTTTTATTACTGTATTTTTGTTACCTAAGAGAGTGCTCTTCTCTACAAGGATGGATAATTGGAGGTTGGCCATACAGTGAACAATTCCTGGGGAGTTTATTCTAATCATTTTACGGTCTTGGCAAAGAATAGTTCCAATAATTAAATATTTATAGAATGCCTAAATATGCAGCATGATATAATATGCAGCATGGGGAAGGAAATAAACTTCCACTGTTTTATATATTTTGACTTTTTTTTGGTAAAGTGTATCTGGAAAGAGAAGTAGCTCTTTATTTTGTGGTTGAATTTTTGGGACACAAAAGCATAGATGTCCTTTACAGTTCAGTATTGCAGTGGACAGCTGTTGTTTTTGCCTGCCCAGCATTCATTCCTCCTTCTTTTCATAATAACATTCTGATTTTCCAAAAGGGAACTACTTCTTTCCCATGTCAGTCCATGTGGTATAAGTGGCAGTGACCCTAGCCCTCTCAAACCCATGTCCCTGAAATTCTCACGTGGGCACATACCCTAGGCCTCCCAATCAGAACACTGCAGCCACAGTTATTGGTTCAGAAATGAGCAAGAGACCCCAACCAGGTCAGTGAGACTCATTCCCTGAGTTTTTAAGGAGCTATTGGGAAAAAAGTGGTTTTTTTTCTTGGGGGGATATTGTTGTTGTTAGGTATCTTTGAGTTGATTCCAACTCAGCAATCCAATGTACAACAGAATGAAACACTGCCCAGTCCTGCACCATCCTCACAATCATTGCTACGTTTGAGCCCATTGTTGCAGCCACTGTGTCAGTCCATCTCGTTGAGTGTCTTCGTCTTTTTCAATGACCTTCTACTTTACCAAGCATGAAGGACTGGTCTCTCCTGATAACATGTCCGAAGTACATGAGACAAAGTCTCACCATCCTTGCTTCCAAGGAGAATTCTGGCCGTACATCTTCCAAGACAGATTTGTTTGTTCTTCTGGCAGTCCACGGTATAGTCAATATTCTTCGCCAACACCATAACTCAAATGCATCAGTTCTTCAGTCTTCTGATATTAGGCAGGTAAAATGTAAGTCTGAAATAATAGGTGACTATCTCTGGGTAGCACAAGGGGTTTGTGCTTGTCTACTAACCTAATGGTTGGTGGTTCAAATCCACCCAGTGGCATCATGGACAAAAGATTTGGCAATATTCTTCTGTAAAGATTATAGCAAAAAAAAAAAAAGACTCTATGGAGCAATTCTACTCTGTAATATATGGAGTTGTCATGAGTCAGAACTGACTCTATGGCAACTGGTTTGGTTTTTTGGTATCTTTGCCACCATATGGGGAGAGCCTTTGCGAAAGAAACCAACAGAGAAAAACAGAGTCTAGAGACAGAGAAAGTCATAATCATATTTTTTTGAGCATCTTAATCTAGCCTTGATGGAAGGAAGACCTACCCTGGACTTCCAGTTCTACGAGCCAAGAAATTCCTCTTTTTTCACTTTAACCAATCTGAGGTAGGATTCTATGTCTTGTAACTGAAAGAGTCTTGACTAATAAACGTATCGTATGAGGGCTCCACTCACAGTCTGACTTGGTGTTGCAGAAGCAGAGGCTGAAGATCCTGGAAGCTGAAACACTCTCTGGCAATTCCGGAGAACTGTCTTGAGTAAACTGAGAAAACTTTTGCTCTTACCTCATTACCTTATCTCTGAACTCAGTGTGGGTATGTCTACAACATTATTATTTTAAAAAGTAGACAAACAAGCAGGATACTCACTGGTCCACTTCCTGCCGTGAGATTCTGGAGAGCTCCCAGAGAGGCTTCCTGTGTGTAGTTTCGGACACTCTTGGCGATCAACGACAGATACATCCTTATCACGATGGAGTGCCACAGCCACTCCACACCCTTGGGGTTGCTCTTTTCCTCTGGCATTGGCATGTCCTGGTATTGCTAACCATACACACAATGGAATCCAGAGTTAATGCACCTCAAGCGATCTTAACAATTCCATACCCAGCCCAAGAGACCAGAAATATTGTTTAGTCTAGAAAGACTAATAATATGCAGAATAAGAAGCCCTTGAAATACAAATGAAAAACAAATATGTACAATTTCTACTTACTTAACTTTTAGCCCGTGATGATTATTTCTCCCTAACAGCGCCCCCTCCCACCTTTTACATTTCATAGTGAGAGAGAACTCAAGAGAATTAAGCATAGCTGTTCTGGAATCATTTCAGGTTACTGTTAAGCTAAAAGCTAAATTAGTCACAACCACCCCGAAGATAAGAAAAACAGGCCCGTTCCCTCAGAGTCTGAAGTTGTTTGGGATAGCATCAGTGTTCTAAATTTACCAGGTGTTCTCCAAGTTCATGAATACTCTGATACTCAGAGGAGTAGGAGAGGTTACATTCTTTCAGTTTCTATATCAGTATGGAAATAAATACACATTATTTCATATGAGGTTTGCTTTTAGTATGTCCAAAGTTTGTTTTTAGAATGTCCAAAGCTCACTAGCAGGGCTGCTTTTAATGTTAAAACAATGTATATACTATTGACTATGTGACATTAAGCTTATTTCCTATAGGCATACAGCAGGATAGTTTAATGGTTAAAAATGAAAATCTGCAGTCGGACTGACTAGGATGGAATTTCATACCTTCTGCTTATTTTCTGGATTATTCTGGGAACAAATAATTATCTTTCTATACCTCTGTTTCCTCATCTATAAATGATGATATTAATGATACATATAGGATTGATGTAAGAATTTAAAGCATTTAATATAGTGCCGGCATATACTAAGAACTCAGGAACGCACACACGCAGGTGCATACAGACACTCTCTCTCTCTCATTCTTTCAAAGACCAATCAATATACCTCTTTCAGTTTCCTGCTTCGACTGCCAAAACACCCAATACTTTTGCTGTTGTCAGTCTGGATATTCTGGTTTTGAATATAGCTACTCTGGGAATATTTCTCTGGGAGCTCTGTCTCCAGCTGGTAGGAGAGGTTATGAAGAACGCACACAGAGTTCTCAGTGGCCTGGGAAAGCAGAATATAAATGTTGATTATATAATATAGATATCTTTTTGCAACTGTGATGTCACAGGACTTATTAGGCTTTAGATCTTACAAAATTTATTGCATGGGCTTTGGTGTGCTTGAACTGTGGGGACCTGGGGAGAGTGGAATAAGTATGGCTAGAAAGGCTAAGGCTAGATAATGAACGCTCATGAGCACAAATGCTAAGGAGAAGGGGCTGATTTGGTTTTTTTTTTTAAACAATGAAGAGCCATTCTAGTTTACTTTTTAGAGAGAATGACCAGAATGACCATGTTTTAGAGACATAACTAAGTAGCTATGAAGAGTTGGAGACCAGGAGAAGATACTGCTTGTAGAATCAAATTCGGAGTTTATTGTGATAATCAATATGAAAGATGCATAAACTCGATGCTACAGCAGTAGTAGCACCAGAGAGGAGTGGCTGAACTAAAAGACATTTCAGAGGTAGAATGTGCCTGGATTGTTAACCAGTGTATATGTGAGGGAGGAGAGGCAGTCCAAGATTACTCATATTTCTACCTTCATTTAGTGGATGGTGATAATTATTAAGAAGGGCTATGGAGAGGAGGAGCAAGACTGGGGAAGGGGGAAGAGATGAATCCAAGTTCTTTCCTGAACATATAGAAGCTGGGCTCCTTCCAAATATCTAGGTAGAATGATTAAACAGGTAGTTGAAAATTTGTGTGTGGAAAGTAGAAAGAAAAATGGGGCTAGATAGATTTTAATATTTCTAAGCAGGTATGGGAAATATTAAACTTAGAAAACGCGTCAAGGACTAAATTTAAACCTAAGCAGCTACTTCAAGTATACGCTGAAGAGTCTTAGTAAGACAAAACGGGTAACTGGGTATGTGAGATATTTAACTTTTGAATTACTTTGTCATCTGGCTGGTAATCTGCGATGGTTCCTCTGACATAATGGACCAAGGAGTCAATCAGTCCATCACACCTTCTCATCACCTTCCTCCCATCCGGGCCAGCAGAACTCATGTTTCTATAAGGAAAAATAAAAGAAATAAAAATAAATAAAATCTCAAGGCTTAGGCTTTCTGTCCAACAGGTCTTTGTTTCAAAGCTTTTGATGCTTCTTCCAGGTATTTGGAAAACTGGTGAATTTGTAAAAGGGTGATAGACTTGTCCTGGGGTTAATAAATCATTAATTGCCTAATGGTCACCAAATGTGGACACGACTTCTAAATGTAATCATACAGCATGTAACCATGTCAATAAAAGTGTACTGTTTACTGCACTCCAAGCATCAAGGTGAAAGCATTATTTTCTTAATCTTCACCTCATTTTTGAGAAGGTAGATATGAAGCAAATATTTTGCAAATAAAAAGAGAACGAATGGTACAGTAGACATAGCCACATACTGGGTGTCCAAATGCTAACTTGTTCCGTGTAGTAATCTAAAGTTACTTAACTTCTCTGAGACTTAGTTTTCTAATTTGTAAAGACAGAGTGTTGAACTATATAATTTTGGGGGTTTGTAGGTTTCAGTATTATTATTGACAAGTATTAAACCAGATGCTCTAAAATGTGATAATTCTAATTAAAATGGCAGAGAAATGTCACAGAAAATCCAGAGTTTCACAGTGTATAAGACCTACAGCAAAACATGACCTATAAATATCTTTGCACTTAGTCTATTTCTAATTATGCTAAGCTTTGACACCTTTCTGTAAACAGTAACTAAATCTACAAGAGGAGGTTGGTTCCTTATAGAGAACTGAAGCTTATCAAACACAAATAGCAAAGTGACGCATTTGAGCATCACACTTCAGATTCAGATCATGTTTATATTCTGGTATTATAATAACAATACCACGTTACTATTTTCTTTCGGATTAAGTTTTTCTTGTTAGCATTGACATTTTAAAACTTTTTTCTAAAGAATGATAAAACCTCTGTCAACAAGAATGGCAAAAGAATAGTGCCTTCTGGTTTTTAGAAATTTGAGACTTACCTCTTTCCTTCTTTGCCAACTTAAATCGCTAATACCATAATTGTTCCTGTAAAATTTATCAGACCAGCTTCTTTTACTGGCAGGTAGAGTATTCAAAGTATATTCAATATTTTTTGCTTATAATGTCTCAATGTCATTCTGAATATCAAAAAGAAGTACAAATCTGAGTATTTTGTGGGTCTTATTTTCATCATCTGTAAAATAACATAGTTGCACTAAATGGTCTCAAAAGCCTTTCTGCCCAAAATACTGCTTTCAATACATATTTATCAAAGAACAAATGTGCTCAGCATTGTATCAAGAAGTACAAGGAACAAGGGAGGAGTACACAATACTGTAGCCTGCTCCCATGGAGATTATTACATTTATAGGGTTAACTCTATGAAGCTGACAATACTTGACTGCCACAAAAATGGCAAAGTCATGATTCAACCTAATAGTTGAGGAGATAAGACTATTCACTTAAAACTAAGAATACACTGGTAATTTGGTGTTTGCTGAGTTGACACAGTGAAATTTTTTCTTTTAATAAAACCCCTTCTATGACTTTGGCTCTTATTTGACTCTTCTACTTAAAGATTCACTTCCTTATATAATTTTTACTGTCCCTGGAAAACTTTACACTTTGTTCATAAAAGAAAGGTAATGAACAAACTCATAACCTGTAAGTAAAACCATATTTACTATAGCTTTATGTCAAGAAATGACCATTTGATCCAGATCCTCCATCTACTCTTTGAACCCTTTATGAATCATGGGATTGTAAAAACTTTGCCAGAAACTTTAAAAAAAAACTTTTCCAGTCTCCTCATTTTACACATGAAGAAATTGAGGTCCAAGAATTTAAGTTACTTTTCCTGGGTGGCAGCAAATTAGTGGTTAAGTCAGGAGAAGAGAGCTGCTCTTTTTTCTGTGCCCAGTGTGACTTCAGAGAAGAAGCAAACCTCATCTAGCATGTATTCTGTCTGCCATTTATTTAGCAAATACCATATGTCCTGGACACCAAGACAATGTTATCATATGTTTCAAAGCTTCCCTTTGACCTTTCCAACCTTTGGCTTGGAGGGGTAGCAATAGTTCATAATTGCTTTGGCAAATTAAAGGGTCTGTCTTTCTCACTAGCTAAGCCCACTGCATACCTTACAGATGGATAACTTAGCTTTGTTTAACTTCAGGGTGTTTATTTTAGGTCAAACTGGTAATTCAGTTTGGCAGTACTGCCAGTTCACACATACTAACTGTTGTCTTGTAGTCTGGCATTATCCAGACTCTACTGCTTGAAATGGGACTTATCAGGGTTTTTTTGGCAGCTGATATCTTTGTTGACAGAAAGTGCATGGAACCCTTTGCTTCAGTATTTGCTTCTGCATGTCAAAAATAGTTCCCACCTTACTGAACCACCCAGAAATATGAATGATAAGGGTAGATTATTTTATGGAACTACACCCATGAATAGAAATCACTGTACAGAAAAGAATTTGCTAGACTAAAACCAGCCAAATACCAAACTTGTTGCCACCGAGTCAATTCCAACTCATGGTGACCCCATGTGTAGCACTCTGAAAATAATCAACAATAATTAGAAAATGATATATCCATCCTTAAGTGTTTTTGTCAAAAGCTAATACTTAAGTTTGCAGAAATCAGAGAATTACTATGGCTAATCTTAAGCAGAACTGATACTTTTACAATGTCTCTCCTGAATACCGAGAAGTATTTATTTTTTACTGTTTCTTACATGTAGCCTGATAGAAGTCTAATATGGAAAAATGTCCCAAAATTATAAATGAAATGTATTAAAACAATTATCTTGTTGGAAGTAAAAGAGAATGAGGGTACTAACACAGTAGTTAGTAAAAACTGATTATCAGAGTTATAAATAGAACCTATTGGAAATGTTCAGTGTTTATGGTTTGCACTGGATTAAATGTGTTTATTTCCCCAGGTATAATCTAGCCCAAGTCTGAGTAAATATGCGGGTACCTTTCAGTAAAGGAAAACCTCTGGTTTCCTTTCATTGTTGAGGAAAGTTGTAAACTGAAATTTTAAAAACAGATCCTCGGATTGGGGGTTGGAGGCTGGGGGCAGGGAACGAAGGTGATAAACTGCTCTCCACATAAACATAGGACTGTTTTGGAGCTCTTCACCACCACTGGATCTGTAGTTTATGTTTGATATTAGGAAGAATTTTTACGGCAATATGACTTGTAATGGGAAGGAAGAAATAGAATCTGAATCTCTCCTTGACTCTGAAATGGTCACAGAGCTTCACATGTTTAGGAGAATTCGGGTATTTTAACTGAAAGCAAATCTGTGATTAACTCTCTCAAGGACCACTTATCTCCCACATTCCTGAGTGTCACAATGAAAAAGAGAAAAGAAAACAAAGTACCCCAAGCCTTGCTAGAATTAAAAGAAATAATGGTATGTGTTTGTTAAGATTAATGACAGTGTAAATGAACCTTAAATCCACATAGTAAACCACAGAATGGACGATGTCAAATGATAAAAACAGCTGCAATTTAGTGTATGTGTTATACATTACGGTGGGCACTTTATGAATATTATGACCTGTAATTTTTACAAAATTCCTTAACTTAGGGTATGTTAAAATGTCATTCAGAATGTTGACCTGTGACTCTCATTTAAAACTGAAGTTAACCTGCTTATCACAGGAATTTACTATCTCTTCCATATAAAGTAGAGCCCTGGTGGCACAGTGGTTAAGTGCTTGGCTGCTAACAAGACAAGTAATTCTAATAGAGATAAAACATGGGATTATTTCTACTGATAATGGGTATGGTTTCCTACTAAGACACACAAGTTTGGGAGTGCATCGTATGCAAGAACTGCTGGCTGTGGGACCAGTCTTCAAGGTCTAACGAGCAGACTGAGATAGTGATCAACTCAATGGTTTTAAAAACTTGTGGGTGCACCTTCGTAATCACCAACAATTATAGGTTCACTCATATGGTGTATTGTAAATTGGGCAGTAAGGCCTGAAGTGGTACCAGTCAATTAAATGCTTATTACCCAAACCAAAAAACCAAACCTGTTGCCATCGAGTCGATTCCGACTCACAGCGACCCTACAGGACAGAGTACCATACCGTACCGTTGCTGTCAAGTCAAGTCTGACTCATAGCGACCCTACAGGTCAGAGTAGAACTGCTCCATAGAGTTTCCAAGGAGTGCCTGGTGGATTCGAACTGCCGACCTCTTGGTCAGCAGCTGTAACTCTTAACCACTATGCCACCAAGGTTTCCATAGGACAGAGTACAACTACCCTATAGGCTTTCCAGGAAGTGGCTGGTGGATTCCAGCTGCCGACCTTTTGGTTAGCAGCCGATCTCTTAACCGCTGCTCCTGTTCCAAGACCAGTAAGCACTTGATAAGACACTGGCTGATAAGGAGTCATCCTTCTTCCTCTTGTTAGTTGAGATTTAGGTCCTGGGCTTTTGTTTAACTCTCAGCTGATATACATCAAACAGTTGGGCCTTGTCTGTGATTAACCAAGAGAAAGCAACAGAGGCAGCACGTGGTTGCACAGAACAAAAGGAGAGCCTCACTTGAACTGGCAGAGGAACAGAAACTCTACACCAAAAGAAGGATTTGTCTGTCATTCTGAAGTAAACAACAGTTCCTGAAGATATCTGCAAACATCGGCCAAAGTCAACTGTTCAGTCTGCAAACAGAAGCAACCCTGGGAGGTAGAACAAGGCTCTATAACCTACACATCTTGTTCTTTCAGGACAAGGAAAATAAACTGACCAAAGATATGTCAGCCTTTATTCCACACCAAGAGCTAGTAGGTGCAGGACAAGAAATGCTATATTTGAAAAATCCTTTAACTCTGCTTTCCTGCATTTTCAGATGTTCCAAAAGTATTCTTAAAACTCAATTCAGCTAGTAATCATATGGTTAGTATGCAACAGCCATTTTCTCTTGATTTAGCTGGAGCGGGTTTTTCACGATAGGGTGTCAAATTCCATTTAATGCCAATTATAAACAGCAAACCACAATTTAAAA